CGTTTGAGGCTGAATTGCTGAGAGTAACAACGAGTGTTTTTCAGCTATCAGGAAGGGAACTAAGAAGTAGCAGAGATTGCATTTCATGTCCAAGCGGCATCTCCACGCAAGATAGTTGATTTACCAGGCTCTGAAACTCACTGGTATGTTCGGCAACAAAAGTTCCACTTTTCAACTTCGTATTGAGTAAGCGCCTCATCAATAAGGCCTTATTTCGAGCGGTCTTGGCCTGGTACATGTCCTCCAGCTTCCTCCAAAGGACATATGCGTCGGTTTCTTGTGCAACATGATGGAAGACACTATGGTCTATCCAATGTCGAATTTGACCAATAGTTTTTCTATTGATTTTCTTCCATTCTAACACCTTAGACGAATCGGAGTTAATACCCTCTAGCTCTATTGGGTCAAAGAGCTATTTACAGCTGAGGAAATCTTCCATCCGAGGTTTCCACAGTGTATAATTGGTAGCCGTGAGCATAATCATAGCTCCAGAAGATGAAGTTGACTCTTCCATGGCCATTTTACACCTTCAATGATCTGTTTGGGACAAATCGGAGCTGTATTTTGAAAAATAGACAGCACCGTTACATCCGGAACAGTCGAAAATGAAGGGGGGGCTTTTTTTTTTTTATAATATATGGTGATGACGTGGCAGTTGACTGACTGATGTGATAACTGACTGGGACTGCTGACGTGGCAGTAACTGGGCCCCCATTTCTGACGTGGTAGATGACTGGACTGCTGACGTGGTTGGTGACTGGGCCTTCCTTGCTGGCGTGGCGATGACGTGTCCGGTGATGTGGCGTCACGTCATCATCTTCTTCTTCAAGATTTTTTTTTTTCCTCAGAATTTCAGAAGGCTATATCTCTCAGCTCCAGTGTCCGTTTTTCGCCCGTAAGATACCGCCGTGACCGTCTCGACAAGACGAATCTAACGGTGTCCTCGGAATCGAATTTTGAGCACAACTTAGAAACTCGAAATTTCTACAGAAGCTCGGAAAAATTCAAAATTAAGCCCGAAAGCTTCAAACCAAGCTCTGATACCACTTGTTGTGGTATCATCCCAAGATCATACTCATAATTGAGAGAAAAATAAGTTTCTATTACTCACAAGAATAAAAACAAGAGATCTACAAACTCTAAAAAAAAATTCTCAAACTTTCCCACAACTCTTCTTGGTTGTGTTTCAACACTCTCAAGGTTGATTGATCACACTCTTAGATTATTTGAATGAATGAAATGAGCAACCTATTTATAGGCAAGATATAGCACACCACCATTGACAAGGTGTATGAAAGAGGAAGGTTGGTGGATGGAAGAAATTCTTCATTTGTGTGCTACAATTTGCATGGAACTTTCATAGCTAGCCATTGATGACTTTTGTGTGTTTCTTGGAACTTTCACATTGTACTGTACGGAGATGGAATATGGTATAAAGAACTTTTGGTGGTATTGTTACATTGGGAATTATAAGTGTACAAAATCTTAATAAGACGTATTTGGATTGCATTTTTTTTTTTTCATTGAGTTGGTAAAAATGTCGTCTTTCTACTGTTTATGCATGCAATTTTTTAATTTTGTCACTTTTAATATCCAGTTGTAAGGCAAGAACCTGCTGGAAATTATTGGGGATAGAGTGGACTTTGTGGCAAGATCCGCAAATGACTTTTCAAGTCTGGCGGGAAAGAGTTGTGCTCTATTCCTAAAGCCAATTGTATTAGAGATAGGATTACTATTTTAGTTCATTTATTGTGGTATATCTGGAAGGCTATCAACAGCTGGATTTTCAATCGCTCAGTGTTTGATGTGGTTGAAGTGGTGAGAAAGACAAGAGGGGATCGGCTGGAATTTGCAGATATGACATACTCAGATCAACCTGTGAACAATGTAGCTATGGTGAGTCAGGACCTTGATGGTGGAAGTGGAGTAGGATAGATTACACTTTCTGTCAGTGCTCATTTTTCTTCTTTGGGGACTGCAACTTTGTTAGGCTCTACTGCAAAAGACGTGTTACTGAAGACTTGGCAATCTTTGATAGTGTACTTGAATCTAAAAGGGAAGCAATCTTATTGGCTCTCGGGAGAATGCTTGAAGATGCACTTGACACAGGGTGGCCAAAGGTGGTGTGTTTGATAGAGTCCAAGGAAGTTGTCAGTTTTTTAGTTTCTTATGTCTCTCCTCCTTCTATTTTTCAAACATGATCTTACATTTTTATGTTTTTTATTTCATTTCTTTTATTTATTTGAATATTTGTTATAATGTCAAATTAGAATCTTTTTCACATTTTTCACTTCACAATTATATATTGCTATTTCCTATTTGTGTTATGTTGTTTTAAGTCGTTTTACAAATATTTTATATATAAGTAATAGTTATTTCTAAATAATTATAATTTTAAATAAATAAGTATATTAAAGAATAGATGTCCATACAAGTAATTTTACATGTTAACAGCTAATTAAAAGGGTTTATTGCACGAAATCCCCCTGTATTATATGAAATCTGCGCGTTTTCCCCTAATATTTTAAAAATTGTGTCAAACCCCCTCGTATTTCATATTTGCATGCACACTCGCTATTTCCAGCTAACGCCGTTACTTTAAAGCGTTACTTTTTCATTGCATTTACGTTTATACCCTTACTTAACATTGAATTTACTATTTTACCCTTAATGTTAATATATTGACCTAAAAGAAAAATGCCAATGGTGGGGATTGAACCCACCACCTTTAGGTTGTAAAAGACAACTCTTACCAATTAGGCTACTATTCACTTAGTTATATATGTAATTTTATCTATATATATCACCGTATAGCGGAAATATCATATAATTAAGTATATAGATTCTAAATTATAAATATCATAATAATTAATTATATAGATTCTAAATTATGATTAATATAATAATTAATTATATAGATTCTATATAATGTAATAATTAAGTATATAGACTCTAAGTTATAAATAATATAACCATTAAGTATATAGATTATAAATTATAAATAATATAATAATTAAGTAAATATTTTCTAATTTATAAATAATATAATAATTAAATAAATATATTCTAAATTAAAATAATATAATAATTCGTTATATATATAAATAATACAACGATGAAATAAATATATTTTAAATTATAAATAATATAATGATCGAATAAATAGATTATAAATTCAAAATAAAATAATTATTAAATAAATATAAATATATAATAAGTAATATATTGATTCAGTAAATATAATATAAAATATAAATGATATAATAATTAATAAAATATATTATAAATTCTAAATAATATAATAAGTAAATGAATAAATTTCAAAATAATGAATAAATAGATTCTAAAGTATAAATAATATAATAATTGAATAAATTATATTCTAAAGTATAATGATAATTATAAATCATAAATAATATAGTAATTCAGTATATAGATTTTATGATAATTGAATGAATAGATTCTAAAATAGAAATAATATAAATAATTAACTAAGTATGTTCTAAATTATAAATAATATAATGATAATTATAACTTATGAGTAATATAACAATGCACTATATATTTTTTTATAATAATTGAGTAAATAGATTCTAAATTATAAATAATATATTCTAATGTATTTACTCAATTATTATAAAACAAATTATTGAATTAATATATTACTTATAGTTTATAATTATAATTATATCTCATAAAAAAGGATACTTGATATTTTAATTAATAGTGTTTTACATAATGAATAGTATTTTTTATTTATTATACATTTACCTGAATTTAAAATAAACATAATGAATAAATAATAAGTACTTAAATTATTTATTACAAATTCAAAAATAATAATTTTATTGAAAAAATTAAATATATATATTTGTCGAACATTTAAAAATAATAATACAATATAACAACTAAATAAAAAAATAAATACAAATCATATGTAGCTATTGCATAGAAAATATTTTATTTACAAATTACTACTTTCATAATATATTATATATAGAAGTATAATTTTATTTTATTATAAATAAATTTAATTTAATTTTATTTTATTTTATTTATTTTTATTATATTAATTCAATATAAAAATGTATATTTAAATTTAATTTTATAATTTATTTCATATTTATATTTTTTAATTTTTTATATGAATTTATCTTTTTGTTTTTATATTAAATAGTAGTATAATTATATATTATTTTCAAATTTTACATTAAATTTTATTCAATTTAATTTTTATTTTATTTTATTTTTATTATATTTTCTTATATTACATTATTTAGTGTTTATTTTATTTTTTAATTTTTGTTTGATTAAGTTTTCCACTGTTCGTGTTGTTTAAATGAATCTGTGTTAAATATGTATCATTGAATGATGGTGGCCAAGTGGTTTGAAGTCTTGTCTATTAATGTTTTGGCCCAGGTTCGAATCCTAGGAGCAGCAAAACATTTTGTCCATCAATAGGTAGAAAAACAAGGGCAAAATAGTAAATTTTAATTTTAAAATAAAAAATAAATGAAAAAAATAAATAATTATCGCAGTACATGTATGTGTGTTATACGCGTCCTCAAGTTGGACGGAGAGGGGGTATCGTGCAACAGTTACTTAATACAAGGGGGTTTGACGCAATTTTTAAAATTCCAAGGGAGGACGGAGAGGGGATATCGTGCAACAGTTACTTAATACAAGGGGGAAATTCCAAGGGAGGACGGAGAGGGGATATCGTGCAACAGTTACTTAATACAAGGGGGTTTGATGCAATTTTTAAAATACCAAGGAAAAACGCGCAGATTTCATATAATACAGGGGGATTTCGTGCAATAAACCCCTAATTAAAATAATTGATTTTATCAAACACTCTTTTGCAAACCGCTAACACAATCAGCTAGTCAAAAGACTCAAAACAACTAACACAATCTGCTAGTCACAACAACTAATGCAATCTGCTAACAGCTAACTGTTGATTACCAAACAAGTCCTTACTAAAGCTAGAAAACTTGACATCCATTTCCCCCCATTTTCCACCTCTATTTTGTGTCTCTCAATCGTGAGGTTTGCTCGGATGGGACATCGGCGTTAATTTTCGTCCTCACAAGAAAAATTGTTCATCGCTCGGTTTCTCAAATCGATGGGCACCCTTTTTAATTCTTGACCCTATCTCGTTTCCGGAACATCTCTTCTTCTTTCATGGAGGTAAATTCCCTTTTTTTTTTTCTTAATCAATAATGGAGGTTTTCTATTAAATGCGATCATAGTGATCAATGATGATACGATTTGACCGATCTGCAATTCTGGGTCGCCTTGTCGTTTGTGCGTAGCTGTGTGTGTAATGCGTGGGAATCTGCATTGTTAATTTGGGTTTTGGGCTCCCATGGGATTCATGCCGCTAATTTGTAGATGAGAAAGCAGAGTTTCTGTTGATTTGTTGAATATAATAATGGTGGCTTCATGATTCCTGTTCAAAGACCGCATTTTTATGAAAAATAACATCCCATTAAATTTATCTGACATACTTGGTTGTGATAAATCATTTGGAGTTTTTGTCTTCTTAACCACCTGCATACCTATTGCTGAATCTCTCTGCTTGAGAAAAACCTTCAACATTGGTTCTTTTCATNTGTTCTTTTGTGTAGGTTCCTGGAATGGATGAGGTCAAAAAGACCGAGAATTACACTACATCAGCTTCGGCTTTTGTAGAAGGCGGAATTCAGGAAGCCTGTGATGATGCTTGTAGCATATGCCTCGAGGCCTTCTGTGACAGGGATCCTTCCACGGTGAAGGGCCTCAAAAGATTTATTTTTTTCTTTTTATTGTTCTCCAAATGCTGTATTTATTTATTTTGTCTCATCCCTTGCAGCAGTGAAATCTCACTAATTGTTGCTTTTGTAGGTGACTCTCTGCAAGCATGAGTTCCACCTTCAATGCATTCTTGAATGGTATGTGCTAGTCTATGTAATGGTTTTCATATATAGTCTTCTACCTTGCCATATCGCTCTAGTATTTTCACTGAAGTGGTGCTCTTCTTCCTACATATTCTGGTAGGCTGTACTGTAGTTTGCTGTGTAAACTTATTAAGTATAACTTTAGCATTTTGTAATGCTGGAATGCCATCTTTATTTTTGCTGGTGATAGGGATATTTTGAACACACATGAACACATAAATGATATGTTACTAGCTACTATGCTCATGGGCATGATATGGTGTTTTATATCCATTGGTTGAGTGGCAAATGAGAAAATCTATTAGGCAGTTAGCTGAAATGACAACTAGCACTTCCAAAAGAATCTTAGTGTTTTGTGTAATGTGGAGTGTTCAAGTAGTCTGTGATTTGTGTTGCATACTTGCATCGCATAACATGTATGCCATAGTTTTCTGCCAAATTTAGAAAAAAAAATAGAATCGAATAAGAAGAGAAAGGAGGACAAAATATTCTTGAGAGTTGAAAATATATGCCAAATCATCGATATCATCTTTAAAAAAAGTTATGAGGCTGATACACTTAAAAGAGAGTATGTCTAAAAACTAGCTGGGGGTTGGGATTTGATGAAGAGAAAAATTGTAGAAAAGCTACTTACATGATTCCAATAATGGTCAGGTGTCAGAGAAGCTCCAACTGTCCAATGTGTTGGCAATCCATCAGCCTGAAAGATCCCGACAGGTGTGAATTTACACTTTTGTCCCTCGCTCAGCACTTTTGCTTTTATAAACAATTTCATGTTCTTGGTATTTGTGGTAACAGAAATTTTCTTATTTATGCTAGTCAAGAGTTGCTCGAAGCCGTAGAACGCGAGAGAGATATTAGGCTTACTCCAACAAGAAATACCACCATATTTCACCACCCCACCCTTGGGGACTTTGAGTTGCAGCACGTCAGTTGCCACCAATCCATATAAATCAACCACTGTTATCTTCCTACTGTCTGCTTGTTGTTTTACGAGTTTTCCCAATAACTTTGCAGTTACAAGATTTGGCAGCTGCTGCTATAAGAAGGACCCACCAAATAGTGGGAGTTAATGATCCTGAACTTGAAAGCCGTATTATACAAGATTTGGCAGCTGCTGCTGCTAATAGAAGAGCCAACCGAATTGCCAGAAGGGAGGGCTCAAATGGTCGTCCACAGTTTGTGATTTTCTCGGCAAATCCTAGTGCATCTTCTGCCGCTAATCCTATTTCGACTTCCGCAGCTCCTGCTGGAGTCGAAACACAATCACCTGTAGCAACTTTGAGCGATTCATCACATGCTCTCATGTCTTCTTCTGTTCAGAGCAGTCAAATTTCAGCTGCATTATCTGGATCTCCAACTAGCCGCCAAACAATGGCTAATGCCAACAGGTGGTTCTAATTTTTGTCTTTTAGTTATTATTTCTTGGAAAATCAGAGAAACTTGTGAAGTCCAGAATTCAGCTTTTTTTTTTCCTTGCGGTTTTCAGTTTTCTGAAGTGTTTGGTTCTTATAAGTTTTTCATTTATTTTTTATTATATAGTTTCCTTGGTTTATTTTTCAGTTTCTCTGTGTTTGTAATTATTTTAGTTTTTTAGTTTATGGGTACACACCATATGATAGGTCTGCATTCTTTGTTATTCCTCTGACTCTAATATCTGTTTTTTTTAGAAGCTATATAAGTGAATCATTGTCACCAAATCTCGACAATGCGGGACCCTCGGAGTTGCAGTCTTTTTCAGACACTTGGAAATCTCGTCTGAGTGCCATGTCAATGAAGTATGAG